TCTAATGATAGGAATAGTAAGGACACACAGTGTGAATTTGATACCTTGTTGGAATATTAGAAAACAGAAGCCATGCCCATTCCAAAGACCCCTTCTAGCAAGTGATAAGTAGATTCAGAGTTTGCAGATAAGATAAATATACAAGAATTTTGCAAAGCAGGAGTTAACAGTGTCTGTGGTATATGTGTCTCATATTGAAATTCACAATAATCACATACATGATCTACAGGAGCTATCTTAGATAGGGTTTTACTGCTGTGAAGAGACACTATGGCCATGGCAATTCTTATAAAGGAAAACATTTCATTGGGGCTAGCTTACAGTTTCAGAGGTTTAGTTCATTACATGATGATGGGACATGGTGGCATGCAAGCAAACATGGTGCTGAAGAAGGACCTAAGAGTTCTACATCTTAATCCCCAGCAGCAGAAGCAGACTGCATCACTAGGCCTAGCTTGGGCATAAATGAGACCTCAAATCCTACCTCCACAGCAACACACTTCCTCCAACAAAGGCACATCTACTCCAACAAGGCCACACCCCTAACAGTGCCACTCCCTATTGGCCAAAAATTCAAACATGAATCTATGGGGTGTGGGAGCATTACCACTGGACTACACCTGGATTGGCTCCAGAGTGCTAGCACCAAGCCCTAATCCATATTTTGTTTAGCACATACTTGTTGTTTCCCTTGTTGCCCTATTTGTGAATCTTGCCTGAGAGTTTCCCAAGGATACAAAGATTACGCAAAACTTGGTTGGGGAGGGGGGTGAACTGGAAGACTTTAGTACCTTCTGAACCAACAATTTACACTTAGCATTATCCCTTTGGAAGATTTATCAGGCTGTTTTGAGGATATGGAAATCAACTTGTTAAAGTGTAAAATTGGAGGACAATAAAAGAAGGTGAAGGAAAATCTGTTCAGTTCTTAGAGGCTGGATCCACCTTACAGCCAAGAAAAGCTATAGTCATTCTTAGGGTGCTTCTGAGTCTTATTCCCATGGATCCTCATGAAGCTCACACCTGTGCAGCAACAGTGGGAGCCATACCTATTTAAACCACCACCATCCACTATCTGACCCCCACAGATTTGTAGCCATAATATAATGCATTGAGTCCAACTTTGGAAATCCCCATAGTTTATCATAGTCTCAAAAATGTTTAAAAGTTCAAAGTCTCTTCTAAGATTCATGCAATGTATTAACTGTAATTCCTATAAAATAAAAAAAAAGCAGATAAAATACTTCCAAAGTATGATGGCACAGGCTAAAAAGGGGGGCATAGTGAAGAAAATACTGGACCAGAGCAAAACCAAAACCCAAATTTGAAAACACTGTTAAATGTATATTGTTGAGAAGTTTAGAATTCATAAACTCAGGCTTGCAGTCATTTGTAGTCATTCATTCAAAATATTTTTAAGTGGTGCAAACAAGAGGAGAGCATATTTTACAGAGAAAAGTAGTCTGGCTTATAATCAGCATGAGTATCTATTTAGTGATAAACTAGATAGACTTTAGTAATTACGTGGATCTTAGTCTGTTGTTAATAATAATAATATCTCATACAAATTGGCAGAGAAATGTTCTTGTAACTGACTTGGGGCAAACTCCAAACTCTGCATCTCCATGCCTGATGTCAAAACACTCTTCAGGTCTCCAACCCTTTTCAGCTTTGTTGACTACAACATACTTCTTTCTCTTGAGCTAGTTCGACTTCCTGTTATCAGCTTTCCTCAGCAGGTATTTATCCCATGGCTCTGGCATCTCTAATATTTTGGGGTCTCCAGGGCAATCCAGGATTCACCTTCACAACATCACTCAATCGCCTCTCTGGGCTTTCATGCAGGCACACTCCTGCCATATACCTGGCCTCGGTAGCTTTCCTTACTCACAGTGGTTGATTCCATACCCCTTTCTTTTATCCTTGACTCTAAAGCCAGAAACACATGGTGGCCAAAGCTGCCAGTTCTGCTGCTTGCTGGTGCTGGAACATGGCCGCCTTCTTCAATTACATTTTCATGCGCTTTCTATTTTCATTGGATTTCCTTCAGTAAATTTGGCCATCCCGGAACTTGCTCAGTAGACCAGGCAGGCCTTGAACTCAATCTGCCTGCCTCTGAGCACTGGGAACAAAGGTATCCACCACCACACCTGGACCTAAACTTTTAATTCCTTTTCATAAGATGGAAGCTTAGCTGGGTTCGATCTTAGCCTGAAGTCACCACTTCCTTACTCCATTTAATATCTGGCTTTTCTTGACCCTTTCATCTCCTTGAACACAAGACTTACCTCCATTCCACTTCCTAGTGCCCCCTTTCTCCTCAAATTTTACATATTGTAACTTCCCTCGCTAATCTTGCTCCTTTTCATTACAAACCTTTAAAAGAGTGACCATTAATAACCACAGAACAGAGTCAATATTAGGATATTTTGAGATTTTCTATACCAAGGGAATTAATACAAATCTCTTCATGTTTGCCTCATGAAGACTCTTTGGGCAAGGGCAAAAAGCAGGCACAGTATTCACAAAAAGATCACAATAACAATATACTAAAATTCTTCTACTCTGAAACCTCTTGAGCCAGGACCCCATGTTTCAAATCACCATAGCATCATTGTCTTCCATGTTCCTATTCGTATGGCCCATTGAGCAGTGCTTGAAGCATCACACTGCTTTCCTAACCCAAAGTACCAAAGTCCAAATTCCCCCCAACAAAAATATGGTCAGGCCTATGAGGGCAATACCTCAGTCCCTGATACCAATTTCTGTCTTCTTTACAGTTTCAATTGCTAGAGAGATACCATGATAACATCAACCCTTACAAAGGAAAACATTTCATTGGGGCTGGCTTACAATTTCAGAGCTTTACTCTATTATCAATATGATGGGACATGGTGATTTGCAGGCAGACTTGCTAAGAAAACTGGGAACCATACTGGGCACAGCTTAAGCACATAAGACATTCAAAGCCCACCTCCACAGTGACACACTTCTTCCAACAAGGTCACACCTAATACCTAATAGTGCCATTCCCTATGGGCCAAAAATTCAAACACATGAGTCTATGGGGACCATACCTATTCAAACCACCACCAAAGAAGTATAATTTGATCCCATGAAGCCCAAGTGGAATGGCTCCAGTATATCTGTGAAGAACATAGAGACTGTACTCCAAAAATCTAAAATGCTCCTAAATAGAAACTTATTATTAATTATGAAAGCTTAGGCTTATTTCCAACTATCTCTTATAACTTAAATTAACCCATTTCTATTTATCTATGTGCTATCATATGGCTCATGGCTTTTTATCTCATCTCCTGCAGATCCTGTTTCCTTTATGTCCAGCTGGTGACTCCATATTTCTTCTTCCCCAAGACTTCTGTCTCCAGAAGTCCCACCTAACCTCTTCCTGCCTAATTAATTCCGCTCTTTATTATACCAATTAGTGACACATCTTCACACAGTGAAAGGAATATTCTGCAACAATGCACAGAAGTAGAAGGAGACATGTGAAGGTCTTTTTGAGAGGTTAGAAAAAAGAGACATGTTGCTAACATCCATCTGAATAGAGTCCACTCTTTCTCATAGCATATTCAACATTAAACTAGTCCAAGGAAAAAGAATAAATTCCTATATGATAAATATAAATAACAAATTATTATCTCTGTTGAATCTAGAGGTATGTGAAAGTACCAAGCAGACTAAAGCAGACAGGAAGAGATTATGTGAAGCTGGTAATATTAGTCAGTGGCAACACTAAGAACATAATAAAAGTCCTAGAAGAGAACCAACTGTATAGGACTGTCTTAGTTAAGGTTTTCATTGCTGTGAAGAGACACCGTGACCACAGCAACTCTTATAAAGGAAGCATTTAATTGGGGTGGCTTGCTTACTGATTCAGAGGTTTATTCCATTATCATGGTAGGAAGCTTGGAAGCATGCAGACAGATCTGGTGATGGAGAAATAGCTGAGAGTCCTACATCTTGCAGGCAACAGCAAGTGAACTGATTTACTGGGTGGTAGACTGAGCATAGGAAACCACTTAATATAAAATAGACATTGATTTATGTTTTATAAAACATTTGATAAATCACTGATGAATTCCTGTCTCAAATGAATAACAAAACAGTATAAAATCTCTTGTTTTTTGAAGATCTATTTGTATGTTTGTATGTGTGTGTTCATGTGAGACTGTGTGTGTCTACCATGCACAGTGTGCATACAGTTGCCCACAGAGACCAGATAAGTGCATCAGATTCCCTAGAGCTGCAGTTATAGGCAGTTGTGAGAAACACAATATGTGTGCTCAAAAAAAAAAAAAAAAAATTCTGGTTCTCTATAAACTCTGCTGCTCTTAACTGCAGAGCCACCTCTGGAATAACTGATTATAACTTCTTAAAAATGTTTTTTTTTAGGGGCTGGAGAGATGACTCAGAGGTTAAGAGTGCTGACTTCTCTTACAGAAGTCCAGAGTTCTGTTCCCAGCAACCACAGGGTGGCTCACAACCATCTGTAATGAGATCTGGTGCCTTCTTCTAGCCTGCAGGCAGAGCACTATATACATATTTTAAAAATGTTTTTTAATATGTTCTATTCACTCAGGATATGTGTGTGCATGCACACTCAGTTGTTTATGTGTCATGGCATATAGGTGGGGATTATTACCTGACAATTTGAAGGAATGAAGTCTCTCCTTCTACCATATGAGTCTGAGGTTGACAGGTTTGGCTACATGTGCCTTTATCCTCTGAGCTAACTATCTCACAAGCACAAAATACTATAACTTTTTCTGGTACAAAAATTATGAAGTGATAATAAAAATTCTGTTTGTGTGGTTAGTATGTACACTAAAATAATAATATATTCATGTTATATTAATATATTAAGCCTAAGTATAGTTCTAAATAGTTATATGAATACACATAAATATGGAACTCAATAAGAGAGTACAACCTAGATAATCAATTAGTAATTGCAAAAAGACAGAAGTAAAGCTTACCACTTCTTCATCTGAAAGTTCACGCCCCTGGATACTGCTATTCTCTCTCACAGCTTGCTGATGTTTTTTCCCTTTAATGTGGCTAAAGAGATAAACTTCTGAAGCAATCTAAAAACACAAAATTAAAGCCATATCAATCAAAATACAACGGCTTCCAATATTAATAATTAAACATTAAATCTAGTACTTATATACAAGTTCAGATCACTCTAGCATATATATTCTAAAATATTTCCCCTAGAATGCAATTCTGAGATCAAGTTTAATGAATCAACTCTCAGCAGTGAAAAAGTGGGTTTTGATTCTGGTCCCAATACATTAAAATATTGAGTTAGTCTATCTTTCAGCAGGTAAACAACCATTTTTGTAACAACTGCATACATCAGCACTCTGCACTGCCATTCCTAAATGCTTTTATTTGTAACACTAACTTTTCATTTAAAATCCTCACGTCAATAGCACTAAGTAGATGCCTTAACACAAGATTTAAAAGGTTGGAACCTTTTAATAAATTTTAGCAATAAACTATATCATCAGACTATTAATAGTGGCAGCCACCTACCAGGACATTGCAGAGAGAACACTGCTTCTTTCTTTCATAAGGGGTCAGTTTAGGGGCATAATCAGTACTTGCATGTCGCCCACTGCTTAACTCAGCAGCCTTTTCTTTCCTTTGTTCAATCTGTTCCATGTGCCTTCGAATGCTTTCATCATGCTGCAGACAGTTAAGTGTGAAAAACATGAAAAGTATTCAGATTATACTGAGAACTTGAAAAAGACTTTCCATTAAAACTTCTCAATAATCCAAAAGTAACTTGTTTCAATATTAACTTTCACATTGAAGAGCAAAGCTCACACACAGTCTTTTAACATATCACTCATGCACAATAATGCTTCCTGAAGTGTGTCTATAGGATGGAAGTACATGTTTAATGGGAACAGTCTTACAGACAAGTTTGGAAAACAGTAAGTTAAAGAGTTTTAACGTTGAACTTCATTCACTTTCTAGTGCATCCCTATGCTCAGAGGCTCAACACTACTGGTTACTTGGAGATAGAATTTGGTAAACTTTTACCCACTACCCATTTGGTTACATATCAAACATTATGAGAAGTGCTGATGCACAGAAACACTCATGCTTAGTCACACAGCAGAAAAAAGACAAAGGCCTATACTTATACCTGCCCTGTAACTAACTACTTTTCACCTCCAGACACTATCCCAGAAAATCTTTTTTGTGCTCACATTATTTTGTATAGCCAGAATGTATCTTGCTCAACTTTATTTTCTATATTAAACTAATCTTTTCATGATTCAGCTCAGTAATTATTCTTTCTGATCTTTGATATGCATACTGGATCACGAAGTTATCTGATTAACATCTGAATCTCACACTAGATTAGGAATTTCCTGAAAATGGGAATTCAATCTTATCTATTCATTAATATTTTCTGCATTAAATTTAAATGACTGATAAATTCCTATGACTATACAAACAGGAAAATTCAATCTTTCAGATTAAAAGGTCACTATCTCCACAAGGAGCCAATGTGTAAATCATTGACACAGTACAAAGCCCTTGTATAGCAGAGATCACCTAACATGTTGTTATATTGGGAAATTTTTTTCTAGATTTTATAATCTTCCAAGTTAGAACTATGCAATTCAAAAGCATTGAAATCAAATGAATAATGATTAGATAATTAAAATAATAAAATACTGTTAGTAATGACTTCAAGTTATTTATTAACTTGATTAATAAGAGTAAATACTAAATATCTTCATTGTTGGTCTACAATGATTCTACAATATTGAAATAAATTATAATAGATTTTGTTTCCAAACAGCTGAGTTTGAGTCAATTACAACTCAATCATAAAAGATCAGTTAACTAAATATTATATATACAAATTAACTCAACTTTTATTCTACAGAATTTTATAATGTGCTCCACTGTAAGCTCTAAAATTTCATATTAAAATAACATGCCGTCCTGACCTTGAGCTGAATTTTTTTCTGCAGCTCTTCCATAGCTTCTTGCTGAGCTGCTGTGAGTGCTGCCAACCGTTCTTCCCTGTCTCTGTAAGACACAGTCAAATCTGTAGGTTCACCTCCTGGGAATAACATGCCTCAGTCTCATGAAATCAAAACATACAATCTAAATGCAGGGCTTATGTATTCTAATAGGCCATTATTTTTTTAAATATTCTAGATGTGTGTTACACCTCAAATATTGCCCAATAAATATTTGAGAAGCAATAGGAGTTTGTTTCATCTTATTTCTAGTAATGAAGTAATACAGATTATTAGCTATAAGTTTCTGACATCAAGAATGGTTCTGGAACTATCATTAAATATAAAATTTTGGAAACATAATTTATATTTATTCCATTAAAATATTATTAATGCCAGAAGAGAAAAATTAAAAGGCATAAACAGATAAGATAAGCAAAGTGAATAGAAGAGGAAACCATGATGTAATCTGAACATCAACATTTCA